TCAACATCTGAAGGGAAGCGCGGGATACAATGGACATCTAGGATGCAGTTGGACGATCTAGACTTCGCAGACGATCTGGCCTTTCTATCCCAAACGCAACAACAAATGCAGGAGAAGACGAATAGTGTGGCAGCAGCCTCAGCCGCAACAGGTCCCGATATACACAAAGGGAAAAGCAGGATTCTCCGATACAACACAGCATGCACCAACCCAATCACAATTGATGGAGAAGACTTGGAAGATGTAAAAACCTTTACATATTTGGGCAGAATCATTGATGAACAGGGTGGATCTGATGCAGATGTGAAGGCGCGGATCGGCAAAGCAAGAGCAGCATATTTACAACTGAGGAACATCTGGAGCTCAAGGCAACTGTCAACCAACACCAAGGTCAGGATTTTCAATACAAATATCAAGACAGTTCTACTGTATGGGGCAGAAACCTGGAACACTACAAAAGCCATCATCCAGAAGATACAGGTGTTTATTAACAGTTGTCTACGCAAAATACTTCAGATCCGTTGGCCGGAAACTATTATCAACAACGTACTGTGGGAGAGAACAAACCAGATCCCAGTGGAGGAAGAAATCAGAAAGAAGCGCTGAAAGTGGATAGGACACACATTGAGGAAAACACCCAACTGCGTCACAAGACAAGCCCTCACATGGAATTCTCAAGGTAAAAGGAAAAAGGAAACCCAAAAAAACACGTTACGCCGGGAAGTGAAGACAGACATAGGAAAAAGTAACACAAATTGGATAGAAGTGGGAAGGAAGACCCAGGACAGAGTGGGTTTGAGAATGCTGATCGGCGGCTAATGCTTCATTGGAAGTAGCGAGAATACATAGGTAAGTATAAGTTTCATGATGTAGCCAGTTTTCCAGCAGGGTTGATAAGGTCATAAAAATTTGTTTCGGATAAATAAAGTTTGGGAGGAAGAATCTTAGAACATTGATATAGTGATAAGAAATCATAGAGTTAACAAAAATCAGATTATTGTGTAACAAAGCAATTGGAAGTAGATTAATAGTAATAAGAAAGATATAAATTGAAATCGTGAGTGACTGGAAGAAGAAAACAATATGGTATGAATGAACAAAGAACCGCATAGTTGAAGGTGTTTCAAAAAGAAGCTGAACGTATAGGATCGTGTTTAGTTTTAGAATATAGTACTGAAAATGATATTCTGAAACACGAGGAGCTATCTTTCTTTTCTCATCAAAGCCAATTTATCTCATTTTTCGTTTTTATGGATTTTTCAGGGTCATGAGAGGTCTTCATTTTAGCTAATTGTCCAGCTTTACTTGTAATAAGATTTTTCAGCAGGAAGTGAAATCAATTGAAGTGATCTCACGGCCGTCATATTTGCTTACCAGTTTGCTGGCTGCATGTGGAATATTCTTATGTGATTCACAATGAACAAAGCACTCATGACCTTATTGATTTGTCAGTTAAACACAATAAAGCGAAAATGACAGTGAACAAATGATTACAAAACATCTAAATATAGTGAAAGCTAACATAGGAACGACTAAAAGTAAAATCTACGCGTTCGTGTTACAAAGTTTTGTGTCAAAATACTGCTGAAGCACAAAGATGTCAAACTGTGACGACTGGTAAGGTTTCGCCCCGATAGGAATACATCACCGAGAGAAAGGAATGAATTTAGATGAACTTCGTATTATGAACGATTATTGGAAATAAAAGATTGTTACCACAGGAGAAGTTTGCCTACAATTCAAATAAACTGTTTAACAATTACTACGGAGGGATGTGCGGATTGAGTTTCAACGGTCTTCTCAGTGTTATTCTGGCAAAAACTTGGTACGTCTGCAAGAAACTAGCTGTAATCTCCCTACTGAGTTAATAAATTTCCTTTCCTTCCGGCTATTTACATATTCGTACGTCTTCGTATTGTTTCATCGCAGATTTGTGGTGGCATTGGACCATAACCACACAATTCTCAAAGCTGAATACGAGATAACTCGGAAAATGGATATTCAAGATTTAACGCGAAGAAATACCTAACGATGGATAATGCGGGAACAAGGGGTTGAATTAATCGGAGTTGATCGAATGGCAAGGATTGGCCTTGCAGGCGTGGTCCTAGTTGAATGCTATCTTATAGCTTTTATTCATATTAAATAGATTGTTCTATCTCTAGCCTAAACTTATTCTACATCATGTATTGGTGATCGTTACGATACGGTAAGTTAGTGTAGAAGATGGTATGACTTCAACGTAAGATCTTATAGATTAGGCAGTTATATCATGACAAGTCTACAATTTTAGGATCATGTATATTATTAGCGCAGTACTAATATCATAGTAGACCATAATTCTATAGATTCACTTAAATTTATCTGAAAATCTTATGCGCTAAAACTCTCCTTACTACCGAAACTCTTTGAACATTAGTTTTCCTCCAGAATTCGAAATGAACCCATACGTAAAGACGTTATAGTGAAGCAGTCAATGGTACTGTCACTGATTGGTATACTTTTGCCTGTACCATGAACAATTGAGCTATATGTATATAAATGTGATCTGTAAACATTGATAGCCATCATATTAGCGATCTTTTAGTACGTCACCTGATCAGGTAAGGATTATACTTGTGATTAGTGATCAGAGCCATGTAAGCAGATGAGTAGATTTAAATCGAAATTAAAAAGTCAATAGCATTTATTGCAAAAATAAAGGTGAAGTTGGAAAAAGTGTGAATAACAAAAAACCTATTTACAAAATAATTTTTTTAACCATCTTCACAAGAAGGCGATTGGGAGACGATAGAGGCAGACGAATGACTTATCATGCTATGTTAAAATCGGGATATGCTTCAGGGTGATGTCAAATGCCCTGGTATGGCCGGAAGTGGAATACGCACGCACTCCCTCTCGAAACGCCTTCACACGGCCACGCGTATACAGCCTCTGGTTGAAAATAAGTATAAAACCGAGATATTTTCTAGGCTGGCTACCATTTCACCGAAAATTATAGATGAGCATTGGTTGCAATTGCATGACACCATGAAACGCCGAGTAAAGCCACTTGCGGCTGTGCGAAACGTCCCGCTTATAAGCACTGGGTTTCTTCAGGCTCCTTACAACTGGTCGGAGCCCGTCGGTCTACTACAGGTGGCCGTGTGTCTGGCCACAAACGACGACTGTTACTTAATGAAATCGGGCAAAGCTTGCGTTAGGTCCAAGAAGCCTGGTGGTCGAAGCGTGCTAATGTGCTGGAAGCAGCAGCTGCATCTGGTAACTGCCAGAAGCTCTCCCAACTCATCCAAGCCACTGGCGGCAAGAAGTCTGGTGTGAGCGAAACAATCTGCGAGGATGACGGAACGCCAATCACTAACATCCATCAACATCTTGGACGATGGGCAGAATTTTTCGAAAGGCAGTTCAACTGGCCTGCTGCTCGGGCAACATCGGTCAGACTGTCCTTCCCTCCATGGCCGGTGACGACTGATCCACCAAATGAGGCGGAAGCCCGCAAGGAACTCTAACTCTCGAAACGCTACAAATCACCTGGCCCAGATGACTTACCTCCGGCTCTTTTTAAACATGGTGGTGACTTTTTGACTAAGGAATTGACGACGTTGTTTACAAAGGTTTGGGAACTAGAGAGTGTACCAATGTCATGGAATGAGTCCATAGTTGTCCCTATCTTTAAAAAGGGTTCACGTCGTTCCTGTAACAACTACCGGGGGATAAGTTTACTTCCGATTGCGTCCAAGCTATTGGCTTCCGTCATTCTTCGTAGGTTGTTCAAAACCCGAGAAAGATTGACTCGCGAGGAGCAGGCTGGGTTTCGTTCTGGTCGAGGATGTATTGATCATATCTTCACCCTCCGCCAAATGTTAGAACACCGCCATACTTATCAAAGGCCAACAATCGTAGTGTTTCTTGACATCAGGGCTGCCTTCGATTCGTTGGACAGGGCTGTTCTCTGGGATTGTCTATTGAAGAAGGGTGTACCTGAGAAGTTTATTAACATCCTAAAAGCCCTATATAAAAACACCTTCGAAGTGCAAAGTACTTCTACAAGACTGGCAGGATTCCAATCCTGTACTCACCCTGGATGGTGAGTAGATAGACGTAGTCGAGAAGTTCGTGTATCTGGATAGCTGCATAAGTGCTGGTGGGGGTTTGAGTGATGAGATTAATGCATGTATAGTGAAAGCCAGAGCGGCTTATGCCAATTTGGGCCATCTTTGTCGCCTTCGTGATTGATGACGTCTACTGGCAACACCATGTTAGTAATGCAGAGGTTCGGTATTGTGTGTTCGGGCACAGAGACGATAATGCAATTGGTGTCACCATCTTGAAACACCGACTTCGGTGGCTTGGACATGTTCTATGAGTGTCGTCCCAGAGAATTCGACGTCGAGCATTATTCGCCGACTCTGGGGCTGGTTGGAAAAGCAGAGAGGTAGTCAGTGTATGACATGGTGTCGTGGTATGGAAGAAAAGTACAAGAAACCCATAGCATACTGATTTTCTAACCGAGTCATCAATACTTGGAACCTGTTACCAGAATCAGTGATGTCTGCACCTTCAGCCGACTCATTCAGTAGAAGACTCTACACACATAGAAGCATACTGGAAGAGGAATAACATAGGCCTTAGGCCTTCCATCCTTACTACACAAATCTGAAATTTGAATTTGAATTTATTTTTAATTCTCAACACTAATTTCTAACCTTATTTAAATATTTACGTCACTTATTGTTTGATTCCTAATTAGATCGGCAATATAGTCTTGTTGCATGGGTTATTTATTGCATGGTTATTTTAACAAGCTTCATGACATTCTATCAAAATCAACACATTGGTTTTATACTGAGCCAATGGAGCGATTTTCGAGGACTTCTATATCGTGACCTTGGGGGCTTGTATAAAATGGTTGGCGATGGGAATGATTTATTTTTGTCCATCCAGGTTTGCGATGTGCACATAAGTCCTAAATAACAGAACAGACTTCTTGAAAACTTATGAGACCTATGCGTCATCATCTATTTACAGGTGACGACAAAAATGCTCGGTGCCGAGGTCCTGGGAGTTCTCGGTCATTTAAAAAACCAGTCCACAACAAACTGGAAATTCTTTCAATGTCACAAATTCCACCAGAATTTCATGAAGTTGGAATTTTATCAGGTTATCGCAAGCCGTCCGCGTCACTTTCATCAGGTGTCTGGTCTGTTTTCCAAATGCACAACGAAACCTTGAATATATGGACGCAAATCATACCAACCATTTATTTTGTTGTTGAACTAGTTCTGAATTTTTTCCACGTTGGCGAGCGTTTTCTTCTTATATATCTAATTACCGCCGTTACGTTCCTGTTCACAAGTTCTTGCGCTCACACATTTAGTTGTTTGTCACCTAGAGCTCGACACATATGTTTCTTTCTTGACTATATTGGGATATCACTGTATTCTTTTGGCTCCACTGTTTGCTACTATGCGTTTGCCCTGCCAGTCGAGTTTCTGCGTCCTTCACCTTTCTTTATTCTCAATCTTAGTGATATATTCTTGTTTATCTCAGCATTGTTTTGTATCTGTGGTACATACTTATCATGTCGGACCAGATTTTGGAAACCTTCAATTTACCGTAACATCATTAGAATGGGAGCATTTGGGATTATTTTGTTTTACGTCGGAACTCCGATTCTGTGGCGTTCATATACCTGTAAGTACATGGCAAGTGAATATGAGTCTTCTGAATGCAGTTCACTTTATTATTGGAATTTGCATTTCATGTCAATGTTTTCTGCAGGATTTTTGTTTGTGTCACACTTTCCTGAAAGGCTTTTTCCAGGAAGGTTCGATGTTTTTGGTCATAGCCATCAAATATTTCACATATTAAGTGCCTTCGGTTCTATTACACAATATTATGCACTTAGGATTGATCTCCAGGAGCGTAACGCCAAATTAAGACAAATGTCGCATGCACCTTCAATTCCCTTGTCTCTGTTTTGCCTCGGTCTGGTCGCATTTTGTAACTTCATTATTTTCCTAAAATTTTACAAACGTCTTGGTATCGTCATAGGATGTAAAAAGTTGTAATTATCTTTATGTAGCTGCTTTGTGTTATACTTTTCAGACTTCGTTATCTCAGCTTTTTCACCGTTTCCCATATTTTCATTCTTGACCGATTTGTTTGGTTGTGAGAGATTCATTGTTTTCCAGCACATAAACGTCCCACAGCTCCTGCTTTTTACTCTTGTTACTTAAACTGTTGTCTTTTTAGATTAAAATAGCTTATTTCACCGACCAAACCACATGTACATTGCAAATGATAATTATTTTCAGATAAATTTCCTGTTTTCAATAATTTTCGGTTGGACGTAAGATATTGTTTTAAAGTGTGATTGTTGATGTCTTGATGTATTAGGTTAGCCCAGCTCAAACACGTTTTTCACTGCTTCTCTTAACGCAGTTCAATTTAGCTGGTCCTACTAAACAGACCGTCTGAAGTTACCCTACCATTTCCTCACTAAATATGTGGATAGATTCGAGTCGATTACTTCCATCTGAAGTTTTTACTGATAATATTATCTAGAAAGACTGTTAAAGCTTCGCAGTTAAACCCCACCACTTAAAAGATTCAACTCTGTCAAAGTCAAAAGTAAATTCACTTAATTTTAGTGCAATAACTCTACAGAACATCCTTATCGTTTCACAGGTGACTTATTCTAAACGTAAATTGTTGATTTTCCTATAAATGTTACTAAACATTATCATTGCTATTATGCCTATTGTTCACTTAATGCACAACAGATTGGTATCAGAAAATGCTTTACCGGATGTCATTCAGTTGTTCGCTTAGAATATGAAGTTTTATAAACCAATTATTTAAAATCGCATGACTCAGTTCTCTTCAAGGAATTGAGTCGGAGTCCATTACTTCCGAACATTTATTGGTGCTCAGTTATTGAAATCTTCATGAAACTTCCCTAAACATTGTATCATACGTGTACGTATCTCGTCAAAAAGCGTGCTTCTAGTTTACAACAAAATCACTGCTATTTTTAGTCTTCATTCCTACTGTTGTAGTACGTTTTTAGTCAGCTATGAGAAAATTATAGAACACCATGTTGTTTATTAGTGAACTAGCACTCTTTCGCTAGAGCATTCAACAATCTCACATCAATGTTTCCTTGTCTAAGTGAGAGCATTTGGTCAGAACTTGTGCTATATATGGCACGGTTTGAACAGTTGTAAGTAATAATTGTGTTGCATATCTTAGTTTTACCTTACGAGATTCCATGCTATATGGATATCCAATGACTAAGCACCACTGTAGCATTGTCCCGTATTTCTTGAATGTTTGCACTGAAAATAATGAACCTCTAAGCCCAATATATAGATCTCTATTTGGCAAATGAATCGCGTTTAAAATTTGAGTTGTCTGAGTTTTTGATGAATTTGTGGAATGGTTTTGGCGGAACTAAACTGTGTGCTTTATTTCCTAGTCAGTACCCAGTTTCTTTCTGATTAATAAAAATGCGGCGACTGAAAAATGATGTAAAAATGTTACACAAATTAAAAAGCAGTTGATAAAGGTCCATTCTAATATCTTTTACCATATCAACCTTTCAAAGCGTCACATATTAGTTATGATTGCACTTAGTGAATAAATGCTGAGCTATCTATTTTCAGTCTTAAAAATGTTCTGTAGTCACTTATTTTGCCAATAGATGCTAGTTTCCTGTAATTTTGCCACTGTGAAACATAGACAAGCCTTTTTTACCATTTTGATGTATCATGATTAACAGTTTTTTTTCTGTATCTTTCTGCAGTTGATTATTATTAGATCTGTTGTGCACACTTTGATAAAAGAAAAGAATGTATGGGTGGGGTCCTAACTACATGTATTGTAGTCAGTTGCAATTGTACAGTTGGACCCTTTTCTTACCTTATGTTCAGTCGTGATGATTTTACTCCATTTTTTTCGATTTGCTTACAGTTATCTCTGTAACACTTTGGTCGTCATACTTTTATATGATTTCCTCTCCTGATGGTCGCCTTGTCGTTTTGATACGATATGACAAAAGCGATTGAAACATTTATACCAGATTCTTTATTATTTTCTTACAAACATTCTGAATTTGATATTTCTACACAATGAAGCCCCAATTGCTACGCTTTTTTAATTCTGAACTAGGTGCCATCGTAAGTGTAAAATATGAGCTGCTAGTTGTTATCTTAAAAAAATGCCCCGTACTGCCAAAATTGGTCTCTCTAAATAAAAACAGTAAATAAGCGTCGTGTTCTCAATGTCTCGACTTATATCCGACGTCGCTTGAAGTACGTTTCAAACGTGCAAGACATTTCAGCGTTCTGAAATTGGTTTGCTCTGGCAATCAGTTCAACAGCATAAACTGCCTGAGTGCTTTTGAATTGTTATATCACCGTCCGCTATCTTTTACTTCGAATGGTTAAGTAAATAATAAATGCCGAAGTTTACTGTAACTTCTCTGATCGGTTCTACTTCTCGTTTTTTAGATTCTTCTAGGGTGGATCATAAAAACATACGTCACTGCAGAACTATATTATCTAATTTATTACTGTTTAGAGTATTTAATGCTTTATGTTATATCAACAGAGCTCTGTTAGTATTTCGTAGTTTTGTCGTCGTGATTTAACTGATGAAGTGCTTAGTATCGTTCAGTTAGTGAAAGAGTACGAAATGGTTATACAGTTTACTACTGATTATACTCTTCCATGGTGTGGGCGATCGGGAAGTGACATGAGCCCTCATACACGTAACAGCACAAGAGATCAAGTCGGTCATATTCAAATTCTTTCTACAATTCCTCTAAGCATGTACTCCAGAATAAGCGACAGTCTTCTACCGAGCCTCTACATCGGTGGCTGATAGCGATGTGATCTATTTGGGTCCAACGTTGGGATGAATTCGGGGGTCGCCATGTCAAAAGATGTTAATCCTTGTGCCTTAAGTTAGTATTTGCTAGAAACAGGCAGTTATCTGAGCATAGGTGCAACAGACGGTCGCCATTATCTGTTCTTTGAGACACGACACCATAAGATATACTCAGGTGTCTTTCGTTTTCTCTTAGTTTACCTACTTGAGCATTGAAGTCACTATTACTACGTCAGAGCGTCTAACTCTTTTGAGGAAGTCAGAAAGCTTTCTGTAAAGCTCATCTTTTTTCCTCATCTGAGCTGCAGTCAGTGGGAGAATAGGCACAGACAACGAAGAGGCAACGACGAGTGTCCCTATCTTTCCGAGTCCTTACTGTTCCGTTTAGTCGGACAGCGCACAAACGACTGTCTACTGGTATCTGGTGTAAGATAGCTAGTTCTGCCCTAGGACTCAATGCTATACCTATACCAACGAGGCCACGGGAAGCAGCATCAGGGCTTTCAGATACACGAAGCGTGAATCGAGATGGTTCTTTATTTTGATATGGTGGGGTCAAATGAATGACGCTACTCGGGTCCAGTATACACGTTTCGGAGGTGCAGTATACGTCAACAGCGCGAGATTTTGAAGTCCTCAGCTGAGGAAACCTGTTGTCCTATTCGGCACAGTGTTCGGACGTTAAAATCTAGTACATGAAGTTTAGAGCGTGGTTTCAGGAGATCGGGAATAACGTTCCGCGTACTCGAATCGTTTGCATTAGTGGCGCGAGGTGATAAAGGAATGTAAGAAGGATTAGTCGTGGAGATAAGAGAGTTATTAGGAGATGTAGGAAGGACTTGAATGTAACCAACTTGATCTCGTGTGCTGTTACGGGTATGAGGCTGATGTCACTTCCCGGTATTTCTTGAGGAACCTGAAAAAGAAGTTGGATTAGTGTTGGTCTTAACAACCTGGGAGTGTGACCGCAGAGCTCAAGGGACAACTGCTTGAGGCCGGTCGCGCAAGGTCTTTTCGTGGAAGGATTTTGGTGTGTTAGCTCCGTTCTTCAAAAGGCCTTACCGCCGGAGATGGAAATCCGTGAGGTGTGACATTTTTAGGGTCAACCTTTTCTAACCCCTTCCTTCCTTGTGAGAAGGCAGCATAGCTGCAGTTGCTAGTTGTCCGAGGGAAACACCTTACTGCTGTCATACCTTTCTACAGTCAGCAGTACGACTTCTCCCTCAGACCTTGAGTTGTTGCTTTTAGTCTTACCGTTCTCCAATCGACCTGCCTGGCATGGTAGAACCTACAGGAACATATATTTCAGTCAGTATAGCTCGGTTGCGTCATCACCATATGGACAAGTTTTACGTATTCCCAATCACCGACTGCCTCGACTAGCTATGCTTTATGATGTAAGAGTAGATTGGAAGAAAGCTAGAGCGGCCTGACCAAAAAATGGCACAAATCCATAAAGTCACTAACAAGTGGACTGAGGCATGTTGGTAGGTGTAGACTACCTGGTTGGGATCCGCGAGGTGATAGCAACCGATAGTTAGAAACCCTGAATGACATGGCTCAAAATTGTTTGCGATCGCGCAGTTGCATCTACTCTTTGTGTTCTCCCAAATTTTTATCTTCTGAATTCTTCATGTCCCTTTTTTCCTCTTTCAAAATTTATTTCACTGAATTATACTCCTTGATTAACATCTTCAAACCCAAATCTTTCTGAATACTACCTATACTTTTACTACCTCTACCACTATGGGATTTGAATTGATAATTGTATCTCTGTGCTAATGTGGTATGGCAACTTGAATTGATGTATGTACGTACGAAGTTCTACGTTGTTTCTGACTGACTGACTACCTTCTGCACCACACTACTTGTGACAATCTGAAAACAATAAACTTTTAGTTACTGGGGGTTGTTGAGGTTATTTCCCCACTTTTTACTCGTTCACCTTCCAATGTTCTTGCTCATCATGTGCTTTTGAATTTAATTTTTAACAATAAACGCTTTCCCAACACAACTGTTATTTTAGCTTTTGAATATTCTCGTGCAAATCTAAGGCGATACTGATAGTTAGCCCGCTTAGAAATGCACAGTTAATGGGTCATCACGTTTTGAAGTCAAAGTGAGGAAATAGCATCAACAAGATATCGACTTATCTGTTCAAGTAGTCTATATCCTGATACGTATATTAGATTTCTACCATGGGGCTAGTTGTTTAGTCTCATCTGATAAAATAAATCCAATCATTGTATACTATTATCTGAAACGGTTAAGTTTGATATGGTGTTATTTTTTTGAATAACGCCTAGTAAAAATAATTTTGTTGGATCTTGAATTTGGCTTTCTCAATATTATAATCCATCACTTTTCACTTCATTGCTTTGTGTAGTAATTATTTAATTCACCATGAGCAGTAGGTGATTTTTATTAAATTTCAGTAAAAACATCCTTCCTTGTTACTTTTAGCTAAGCATAAAGTTTCACGCGATTGTGTATAAACTTTGGTTATCGCATTTTTTAAAATCGTATGACGACGTGGAAAAGATAATAACGTGAAGAAGTGGAAGTAATTGAAATTTCTTGTTTCCATATTTATTTTCTGTTTGAAAAAGATAAAGACGTATGTTGTGCGATTTTCAGTAACAGTACCTAAAATTGCATTATTTAGTTCGCTATCGTTGTTATTCTTTCTTTGTGAAATTACATTTGTCCTATTACTTTACTGCCACTTGTCTTCTTATATATCAGTATTGTAATGCTAAACTTCAGTAAATTAGTGGCTGATGTATTAACTGTGTTCAAATGAAGATTACTATCAATGATGATTTTAAAATGCAACGAATTGGTTGTAATGAACAGATAGATTTATTAAGTTTTTTTCTTGATTTTAGAGATACGCTTTGCGATCAGACATCTCTTTTTATTGTGTCCTGAAAGGTAGTTAACATCATCAGTCCTCTAGCATACCGTACAAATGACTTACAGCTTCATAGTGTCGTTCGACAAAGTTTGTATTATTACTACGTTTTATGGTGCTTTGGCTAAACTGGTCAAGGCGCTGTGATTTCATTCATTTTTATCATAATCTCAAACTTAATTCACTTCTAAGTTCACTTGGTGTTGTTTGATTGTATCTTCCCATTGTTGTTTAGGACTGCAATTAATCAGCCTCTTGTTGACATATTTGCGTTCTGCATGGATTGCCTCAATACTGCCTTAAGTCACAACCTTTATAAGCAAAGATGGATAGTGACTAGGACGAAACGCGCGTCCTGGATACCACTGTTAGCTACCATCCATCTTTGCTTAATTCACTTCTGTCTAAATATATAAGGATTGTTAACTTGTACACTGCACATGTAGCGTATAGCCTCGTACATAATTGTTTAGGAGGTTGAGGGGCCATATAATATTTCGATCAGTTCCATTTGTCAGGTATCTTCTCTACAGTACCTAGTTATTCCCCGATTAGTGGCACACAATAAGTAGACTTTCCATTATCCAAGGCTCGGTTCCATATTGTGCTTACTATACTTGGAAATGTCCTGTGTTTGGAATAGATGTTTTGTCTCAGTGTTTGTTTGTATAAACATTGCTTCTAGAGTTTGAAATCGTCGTGAAAGCATCAATAAATCATTAGTACTGATTGATAATTGTTGGGTTTTTTGTCCTCAGTTGGCAATATGTTCCTTTCAACAGGTGCAACCTTCGATTGCAACACCGACTTACACGACCTTGGCCCTGTGCCAAACCAATGACGTGTTGACCAGTACGAGCAGCCTAGAGTCAATTCTAAGTCCTTATTGGATCTGCTCACCTAGTCTTGTCCGTTTAAGTTCAGAACACAAATCTCAGTTTCCACTGTATGAACCATATATTTCAGACACACTTGGTTTACATACAAGCAAGTCAGACCGTATCACATCATAAAGTAGAAAATAAAAATTATACAATATCAAGTCAAAAGTGACTGCGAGTGTGAGAGACTGTAACTAATAAAATGGGAAAATCTAAAGAATTGTAAGTCCTATAATAATAGTCAATAGGTCAGATGGAAGCTTATAATAAAAGGAATATATATATAGTTACTTAATAGTTATCCAGTAAGAATATATGTAATAATAAATAATTCCTATCAGTTACCACTCATTTATTCTTGGTTAGGATATAACTTTTTTTATTATGTTTTCCTGGGTAAAGTTATTTTAATGAACGTTGAAAAATTGTTAGTAATTTTGAATTCATTAAATATATATTTGGGTATTCATCAAAGTTTCCCACTCTCTTTTCAGTAATAATCTGTTATTAAACATTTTAGGATTAAGTCACATATTTTGAATAAAATATTAATAACGTTTGATTGTGGTTTCATTTGAAACTATGTAACTGTGGGTCTTCTGGATTAAATTACTGTTAACATCTCATTTTGCAAATTTCGCATACGTGTACACGCATCAATTGTTAATTATTTTTGAGATAGCTAGAAAATAAAGTACATATTACAAAGAGAACATGTGCTTTCATCTCATTTAATGATAACATTTACACTGGTGAATCGACAAACAATCAATTCCATGTATGTATTCACTGTGTAATACTGCTTAAGTGTCTAGATTAATAATATTGTCAAAGCCATTACTAAATGTAATCTGTTTAAATTATTTTGACAATTTACTAACTTCTAAATAAAATTAAGTTATTTGGCACTTGTTATTAACGTTATATGCATACCTTTAGTTACGCCGACGATCTTAGTATATGTGTGTAATATATCATTGATTATTATTATTATTATTATTATTATTATTATTATTATTATTATGTGTATTACCACTTACTTTACAATAGGATTACAACTTTTCCATTGTTTCTTAATGTTGATTCATCGAAAATTTAATTTACCAACATCATTGCACAACAATTATCGCTTATATTTCAAATATATTGTCTCAAATCTACATAAACAAGATTTTCTAAATATTCAATGCAGATCTAGTCATTCAGCTAAGGAAAAGGATGCTCACTCAATAGTATCATTGGATAAGACAAAATGTAATGAGAATAAAGCGATATGTAAAAATGTTAAATTAATTGGATGGGTTCAATCTGTTAGAAAACATAAATCTTGCGTATTTTGCAATATATCAGATGGTTCTTCACCTTATGATTTGCAAGTAAGGTATAATTTCTTTATCTTTCATTATCTTTCACTCAAAACTTTCTTGTCTCATATTATCCGGTTGTTAACTTTTTTGTCTAATTGGTATGCATCATAACTTATGTCAGATAACAACGTAAAGCCAAGTTTCAGATACTTGGTTCTCACTAATGATGTATTCGATTTTCAGTTGTACAGACATGTGTTCAAACTCCATCTCACACACCAAAGTTTGGATACTTGTTTGCCAAGTGCGGATTTGCAAAATCATCTATGGTCTGCGTCATTCAGATTATGGCTGGTGCTATTATCTTGTTGCACAAAATAACGCAGGTGAAGCGTGGTTAGAAAATGTAACCCGCCAAGTGGGAGTTAATTGCACTAATTACTGAGCCATTACTTCAATAGTGTGTATAACATGATCCTATCTTTGTTAGTACCAACTTTCACATAATATTTATGGTCAAGAGACAGTTTATTAGTGTAAATGTGGTTACCGAATTTTGTAATATTTGTAGCGCTTTCTATCTACGTCATAGTTCATTTATTTCCATTTGTGTATAAATAATATATATTCATTCGCCAGGTAGTTGAGTGAGAACCTTTTCCTTAATGTTCATTTAATCTTGACAGATTTTTATTTCAAGGTGTTCATTCGGTTTCATTCTACATATTCACTTTTCTTGTAATTATTGCCCATCTAATATTACATTTCAGGTTGTCACTTCGCCTAGTGAGATTACTGATAAGATAACCGTTGGTTGCGCTTTGTCAGTTGAAGGTGACATCTATCATATTCCAAATGTTCTAAAAACATCTCAATTGTCAATTGATAAACCTGCCGTTCAATGTTGTGGAGAATTACGTGCTAAGATTGTTAATATTTTGGATACTGAAAATCAAGCTGGAGAATTACAACTTGAAAAGTCAATTAACAATGTTTCTCTTCCTTTTAATCACAGTGTTCCTACGATAAGTCAAATGATAAGTTCACTGGGTCGGCATAGTCCACGGCCTGATTTAGGAGTTTTACGCTCAGTTGAAGCATTATCTATGCGTCATCGACTACCTGAGTTTGGTGCAATGCTTAGAATGCGTGCCCATATTAAGCGAATAGTTAGAAAAGTGATGAGTTCATGTGACTACTTAGAGGTATGTTTACTGATGAATTAATGATAATAAATATTTCATTAGTTATTATGTATTAATTTGATTGGTTGAAGTATGACACTTCTACGTATTGTTAATTGTTTAGTTAAATCAAAATTGCATATTCTCGTATACAATTAAACTCATATTGTTAAGAGATTCTTTAGGCTTCAGTTAATCGAAAGTGAGAAGTAGTTTTGACTTCTAATCCACTACGGTCCATTCAATTTAGTTGGCTATAACATTTATTTCAACGAGAGGAATTATATTAAACTGTTCACCAATAACATAGGTAAATATTCAAAGCAATCACTTTTCTAAAATTTAATTTTAAAACATATGTATGTACCAAAATTCACTTGGTGTTGTTTGCTTGTATCTTCCCATTGTTGTTCAGGACTGCGAATGATCAGTCTCTTGTTGGCATATGTGCGTCCTGCGCGGATCGCCTCGATATTGCCTTAAGTCACAACCTTTATAAGCAAAGATGGATAGTGGCTAAAAGTGGAACCCAGGATGCGCGTTTCGTCCTATCTGGGACTCGTCAGCTGGATGTACCTGCATCCCAGAGTTGATGTATCATATTTGGAAAAGATCTCTCTTAACTTGCATACATAAATTTGTAATATGGTAGTGCTCTACTACATATTGTTAACTAACCTTTTTATTCAATAGGATTATCAATCATTTAAGTATATTTTTTATATGGAGTTTTTAACAAGATGGACATTATCTTTGATCGATTTATTTCAGTTTGTTTACTTTTTAATGTAGGGATATTATTCTAGGAGAATTTATGATATAATTTTATACTTCAATCTTAGTTTGTCCATAAATTCTGTCTTAATAATTTAAATGGTATACGTCTTGAGATACGGCTTTATGTGTATTACTTTCATTTATAAAAGACGAAAATGCCTGAACGGTTTCATTCATCCATATATTTTGTTCGATTTTTATCATGAAGCGGTAGTTAAGTGACTAAAGGATTTGAATCTCAACCAATAGGTCCCAGATTCATGCCTCAATTCACCTTCTTTGATTAGGGCGGTCGGGTAATGTTGCAAGTGCTCATACAAATGGTGCGGCTTAAAATCGAGTACATAAATGTGTACTCGGTGAATAAGTCGATCATCATAATAAATGCAACTTATCATGCTTCGGTACATGTTTACAATTTCTGGGTTGTATGAAGAAAAGATACCATTATGGAAAAGTATATAGATGGTATATGACTTTGCAAATCTTTTCATCTCAGCTGTAAAATTTTTTATCAATGGAATTGGTTTCGTAAAGAACTTGACGAAGTAGGTTAATTGAAAATCTCGAGTTGTGTTATTACTGCTACTACAACCAATAATGTATCCAATCAAAATACTATTGAATATGTGAAATGTAATTTTGTTTGTAAATAACAGGCGTGTATCATCGAAAGTTGAAATATATCAAAAATGTTTTACGTTGAATGGTAATATTATTATTATGTTGATCATAATGATGATAATCTATGAAGCTGTTGAGATGAACTTGATACAGAAAATATTAAAAATATATCTGGATAGAAGTTATTTGCATTTTTCTTGCTAAGTTGCTAAATCATACAATCATTTTTCAGGCTTTCTTTCATCAATGGGGGTGTACGGATATTGAGTGAGGTCAACATGTTTTGTTGATTGAAATATATGGGTACAGTAAAATAAGCTTATTCACTGCACGAGAACATGCCCAGTACTGTTTGGTCCAAACACCATCGCGTTATCCACCTAGCTAGGAAGAAACTCGTATCCTGGATCCCACTATTATCCACCATCCATCTCTAGTTATAACGCTTGTAACTTAATGACATTATCGAGGCAGTACACGTAGGATGTCCATTTTCCAAAAGAGGTTGATCAATTATAGCCCCAAACATGAATAGGAAGATCCAAATAATCAATATATATGAATCAAAATTAATCCTGTTGCACAAGCCGGTGACTATCCGGACTCAGTAGCTAGGTGAATAACGTGATGGCATCTGATGTGAATGGTACAGGATCGACTCCCAGAATCAGCATCAACTCTGAGATGCAGGTACATTCAGCTGACAAGGGTAGAAATGCTTACTATGTTTTATTTAGTTTACTAACTACACTTCATGTTTTATTGTTAGGATTCTATCAATCAGCACGGAACACTAGGTAAGAATGGGTTTCTTCCAGAGAGAGTGTTCAATGTTCTCAGCTGTTTAGAGTAATATGTGGTTGCCGCCAATTGTGAACGCTGATGTTTGATTTCGTATAATTTCATAAGCATACGTTACCAAATATTCCCAAGTCGAGATAGAAATAGCTGCACTGTTTCCTATAACTTCCAATAGTTCATTGACTAATATCTCGGTTCGAAACAAAAATCATGTTGATATTGCACTTATCCCTACCAAATTACACAACTACAACAGTAATTAATATTAGTAAATGTTACTGTACTTGTTAATTTATCTTAAAGTCTTTCATATTAATAAATTTTATAAATGCTTTGAATTAACGAGACCATTTGTTTTGCTTCTTTGTCATCATGAAGAATTATACAATAATTATTGGAAGTAGGGAATCAGTTCTGTCGCTTAGTGACCTCTCTGATTGTCATAAAATTCGATAAATAGTCTTTTCATGTAAACATTTAGTTATTGTCATTGTAATTACATTTGACTGTCGATTCGCTTGGTCTGATGAAAACACTGACTGAGCTTTTCTGGTAGCCGATAACTTAGACGTGTGTCATTGACTGGTCACTGAGTAATGACCATTTTTGTGTGTTGTGCTGTCTGCTGGTCAAATTATAATTTCCTCGACAAAATTTTTTCAGCAATAAAATACTAGACAAACATGACATTGGTCACCATCCAGTGATCAGTCACTTATAGAAATGAAGATTTGAATTCAAACCGTTTAATAATATTACGATTTGATGCATTTTAATTTTTGTTTTCATTAAGAAAATAATAATAGCACAATTCTGAAAATTTATACACATGAATATATATCTATTTCGTAATCAAATTACCCGATCGCTCAAATCGTATTAGTTCGATGAATTGGTTTCAAACCATATAAATCATTGGTTTGCTGGAGTTTGAGTACGTAAACTAATGAATCATAAGACAATTATTGTAATTTGTAATAAATAATTTATGCTAATACACAGCAAAACTAATTTCTATAAAATAACCACCTACTAGTTTAAATTCTCTCTTAAAAGTACAAATTTCACATTGTTTTACAAAGTATAATGTTGAGCTAACGTTTTTCTCGTTTCGGTGGTTTTTTAGAAGAAAAACTTTTGTATGATATTGTTGGTATTTATGTGTGCCTCTCAATGGTTGCGTGTGTGTGTGTGTGTTATTGATTTCTTTTATTAAATTCTATTTGAAGTTGACTATTAGTTGTCAATAAAAATAGTTGAGTTCCGTTCTTCCAAGTAGCAAACAATATAGATTTAAATGAAGATATATTATCATGACATACTGAGAAACAATTACGACATCCCAAAGTTCTCAATGCACTCTATGCAATTACAGACCATTTTATATTGCTGTCAGTATTAGTTGTATTATTGTTATTATTATTATTATTATTATTATTATTATTATTAGTAGTAGTAGTAGTAGTAGTAGTAGTAGTAGTAGTAGTAGTAGTAGTAGTTGAATGACCAATATCTTAATTGAAAATTCAGTTCAGATGTTTTTGGGAGCATTGAATCCAATTGAGAATATTAATTAGTTAGATCAGTGAGTCAGTCACCTTAGCACAGAGATGCAGTGGTCGATTCAAATCCCGTAATGGTAGAGGTAGCAAGAGTATAAGCAGTAATCGGGAAGATTAGAGTTTGGAGGTGTTATTTAAAGAGTATAATCCAGTGAAATAAATTTGGAAAGAGGAAAGAAGGGACATGAAGAATTAAGAAGATTAGAATTTGGGAGAACACAAAGAGTGGATGCACCTGCGCCATTGCAAACGATTTTGAGCCATGTCATTCAGGGTCTCTAACTATCGGTTGCTATCATCTCGTGGTCCCCAACCAGGTAGTCTACAGCTACCAACATGCCTCAGTCCACTTGTCAGTGACTTCATGGACTTGTGCCAAGTTTTGGTTTGGCCGCCTCTAGCTTTCTTCCAACCTACTCCTATACCACTGAACATAGCACGTCGAGGTAGTCGGTGATTGGGCATACGTAACACGTGTCCCAGCCATCTCAACTGATGAAGTTTCACTACGTCATCAATTGATTTGCCATCCTTACCTAGTACCCGTTTTCTAACAACTGTGTTACTTACTCGATGGTTCGATGATATACGAGCAATCTTTCGAAGACACCTATGATCGAATACTAGTAACCTACGAATATCCTCTACTCTTGCCGGCCATGTTTCACTGCGATAAAGTAGGACGGGACGAACTGCTGCGCAGTAAACACATCCTTTGGTTGATAGACGGGTATCTCGCCCACGCCATAAATGACGCAATTTGGCAAAAGCTAGTCGAGCCTTCTGTATCCGTGCTGAGATTTCGTCACACACTAAACCACAAGGGCTGATGAGACTTTCAAGATAAGTGAAGCGGTCGACATACTCAACTTCTTCACTTCGGGTGTCGATGTAACCCAATCCTGAAGCAACATTTTGCATTTCGAGGGAGAGAATCGCATCCCGAACATCACATCTCTCATTCTTTGTTTTGAAGGTTACTTTGATGATTCTGGATTCATGAGATTTTCATCTTTTAGGTGGTTCTTCATGACCGGAGTACAACAACACCTCTCGCGAATCTAATTCTTTCTGTCCAGCTTGTGTTTAATGGGCTATACTTATTCCGAGAACCGCCAAGTTGTATCTTATCATTTCCGTAGCTATTTGACTTGTCCTCTCTGTCTCCCACATTGTCCATGTAACCATATTAATAGTTTTTCTGTTTCTCAGAAGGAGCATCGGCCTCGTGACTTCCGAGGAATCTTGGCTTTTACCATGGGCCATCGTCGTAGTTCCTTTTAAAATATGAAACTTCTACTTATTATGCGTTCTAATCCATTTAACTGTAGAGTTAGTAATTTTAAACCGATTACCTTATTTTATGATTTGAAAATTTCAAGTATTGGGTTGTGGAGATTGTTGAATTTCATTGAAATCATGAGCCGATCAATGCTAAACCACCACTGAAAAACTGGGAGCACCGGACAGTCTCTTCGTCCTAGTATGGGACTCTGCAGCAGTGCTCACCCACGACCCCATACGCGGGAATTGAACTTTGGACTTTCGGTCTCGAGCACGAACGCTTAACCTATAGACTACTGAACCTGTATACAACGGTGTTCAAGTTTAAGCTCAATAAATTCAAGATGTCGCGCGACCTCGCGTACATGGTCGTCGATGTTCACTGTTTGGGAGTTCCATATTAGAACGAAACGGATGTTCATAAAGCAATCCTTAAGGTTTTCATTGGTGGTCTAACATTGATCGGCTGATGATTTCATTAAAATTGAATAAATATGATTACTGTCAACATGTCAATCATAAAATTGTTGAAAACGTATAGGGTTTTTCTTAGATGAGATAATAGGGTTGTTATGGCAATTGTAGTGTGTTTGTGTGTATATGTTTTGTCCATGTGTACATTCGTTCTTGATTTAAGGAAAAACATCGATCGTAGTTAAACAAGGTTTCTTGGGACTAAAAAAACACAAGTTTAAGTTGAGAATTCAATGGATACACCTAATTATATACAAATAATTAATAGTTCAGTGTAAGTTTTGTAACCACAATAATAATTAGCTTGTATTTGTGATGAATAAAAGTGACTGTGGTAAATAATAAATAGCATGACATTTATAAGCTTCCTTTGATCTGTTCTGCTGATGAACGTTTTTAGAGCAGTTTTTATATCGGTGTACGATAATGTTAAGTTATATGTATTGCTTGGATAACCGTAGTCAGTAGTTGAAGATGTTGGTTAACATGATTCAGAATCGTTCACTGTGGCGGAGATGCATCCACTGTATGTCTTCTTTTAGGTATTCAGTTTCACAAGTTACTCTACACATAAATATTTGCATTCCTTCTCGAACAATATTCTCAGTGTTTTTCTTCATTATGACTGATATTACATTTATTTAGAAAACTTTGGTATTTATCTTGTTAATTTTGCGTTCTTGTGGTGACTTGATACTGGTAGGTAAAATAAACACAAATTTGTTCCAGATTGTACGTAGATTATAACCAATGTGATTGATAAACTAACTTATTTAAAGCTGGATGGACTCAGTGAACACTGAGTGTTTGTAATCAACTTAAAAATGAAATTCATGTCAACATTGTATCACTCATTGAGCATTTTCTTACTATTAGTTCCGATCGTCCTATTTTCTTACTTTGATATTTATTTGTTTATCCTCAGTAATTTGCTTTCTGTGTTTCCTCTCCCTTTTTCTTAGTTACTTAGCTTTAATGTTGATCAGTTGTTATTATTTTTTAAACCTTAATTAATGATGCGTGGTGCTTGCTAACCGACTCGGGGATTTATAAACCAATCATTTTATACGTTTAATAATTTTTAGAGAGCACCATTTTAGTCACTTTTTGTCTACACACTAACCTATGTAAATTTCTACATTTAATGATGAGACTTACTATTCTTCCATGTAGATTTACATTCAAACTTAGTGAATAATTCATTTGTTCATCAGATAAATTTCTTATTGCAAAATTACATAAACTCAGTATTTGGGAAGGATAAATTTGTCAAGTTCTTTCCAGTTAGTGCAGTATAACACTTGTGTTGATATGCTTAGTTGTCAAAATCTATCTTGATATTGTAAATTTCTTGTCATGTTTTGTGGTGGGATTTCTGTGTGGCCCCTTGAAAATGTTAAATCAGTGTATGAAGTCATTAATTATCAAGTCTGAAATGTACAGAAAAGTTCAATTTTTTTGCTCAGTATCTTTTCGTTCTTTTTAAAATAACATTTCTACATTTCAGGTTGATACTCCGATCCTCACTTCAACAGATTGTGAAGGCACTGGTCAGATGTTCCAAGTTCAAGCACCTGCGCTTAATGAGACTAGAGAATCCGATAGTTCAAGTATATATTTAACCGGTAGTGCTCAGATGCATTTGGAATCTCTTGCTCTGGGTTTAAGTAAGGTGAATAAAACTCACACGTTCTATTTCGCGACATTTTAATCTTGCTGTTATACGTTCTTGTTGGTATAATTTTCTTTGTTAATGATTACTGTGATAAATTCCCCTTTACTTGCGGTTTAAACTGTTTTATCTCTGTTTTGGTTCTATCAGCCCTAATGCTATGAATGATAACCTTAATGGGAATATTCTTTACTGCTTTTTATCAAATATCTGGATGCCAGCTCATACCGTAGAGAAAGCTTATGACCGCATTTATTTTACTATTCGTAAATTATCTTTTAAAAATTGTCTCGATTGGATATTTGATTATTTATCTCTTTATATTACTTTTGCATCGCTTGCTGATGAATATAAGTTTGAAGAATCATTAAATTTTCTTTATTAAAATTTGATCCAACTTGCTGATTTCAAGTCGACTTTTGCTATAATGTTGTTCAGTACATGATATAAAAGTGGTAAATCATTGGATTATTAATTTAAGGTATGGGCTTTGCTGTTGATCGTGTCCCAACCAGTGATTTACGGAGTATTAACTTGATACTCTGTCAATCAAGCTGTTATCAAATTTCTAAAGAAGTTAAAATTTTACATTATTAATCTTGCTTTACCATATTGACTTAGATGTTAAACGAGTAGCATCATAGTAACAAACCAGTTTGGAATTTCACCAAGTTATTACTATTTTTTAGGTGTAAGATTTCATTTGTTGTAGATCTTGTAGTTTATGTTATTCAATAACAAACCGGTTAGTTGAAGCTTACTATCTAATTCCGTTTCAACATTGTGCTCCATGTTTTTACCAAGCCACATTTTGTTTACTTAAATATGTCTGCCTAATTGATTATATTCTAATAGTTTAGTTTATAAGTTAATTCGTTGTTTACTCATGGAACTATGAGATTATAAGTGTTTCTAATGTTGTTATGTACTTCTTGGTCTTAAAATATCAGACCATTTTGTGATTATGGAGAAGATTTTGAGCTTAGGGAGAGGATTTTGAGTGAATTTTGTTCTCTGATCTGGATGTTTTATCCTTGAAGTTTTCATTACCTTTCTAGACAGTTTAATCCGGATATAATTTAAAAATAACCATTTATCATAAACGACACAATTTCGTCTATAAACTACCAAGGGTATTACTGTCATCGGAATGCGGCTCAACCTAAGGGTCCATCCGTTCCATCCGTAACCTTGAAGTTATATTAATAGACTGTACACACCCACTGAATTTGTATATGATAATCTGAACTGTTTGTGTCTATTTATCTTAATTTCTTTCAAAAGCTTTTCACAAAGGTTTCATTAATTCGGAAGTATATAAATCATCTAGAACAGACGATGAGCAATAAATTAGTTTCCCCCTTTTTTCTAACTACTCAACAGCTTTCGCGGGAAATGCATTATGATGTCGAATCTAATCACTTATACTACTTCAAACTTGTTATTCATCTTAATAACTTTATCTCGCTCTACTGATATAATGCGACAACACTGGTCGACCTATAGTAATATCAGTTGAGTGGACTAATAATTGCCTAATAGTTACTTTATATGGATGCTGTCCATATATTTTACCGTAGGCTTTTTTGCGTGAACACTGAAAGGGTGTTTTTCAACTCATGTTAAACTTTTCACCATTTAGGTTATGTAGATAAATAACAACTGTCGTATTTTTGAAAAAAACCCTGGGTGACCAGTACTAGAGATCCCCCTCTTTTTATTTCATGACTCTTTAGTATAAGTCTTTTTTGATTTTATATTTGTCCGAATCTGGTATCATTGTCTCATTTGACCAGCAATTTATTAATTAAATAATCTGTGACGACGGACCACCGGTGAACTCGAGGAAGCTGTAAGAGGCTCAGAAGGAGCCGAAGACGTCCCATCCAATCACCTTTCGGAAGAATGTTCTAGAATTCCAACGTGTAGCTTCCAGATTGGATAATGCTAATAACCCCCTGTATGTGGTTTGGAAGACTTTAATGATGATTTCCTCACTAAAAACTATAAATACTTGACACTTTTGTACTATGATTGACACTGTTTGGAATAATATTCCTTTCGTTAGTCTTCTGTCTTCTTATTGCGACTTGGAAGGGTTTTGCTGTTCTAGTGCTCTGTTATACGCGGTAGTATAAAGAAAAATCAACTTTTCAAGATATAACATCTGGCGACGGGGTAGAGAAAATTTTGAACCCTGTAAATGGACGAGATTCAGCATAATTATTTTGACCAATCAGTATCCAGATTTGTCATCGGTGTTCTTGGAAGTCATTGGTTGTTAATTGATTACAGTATTTCTCATTACCCTTCTGATTCAGAAAATGGCTATCCTTCCCGATCAATTGCAGCTACTACTTGATCGCCAGCAGCAGCGTTTCAGAGAGAGAGCCAGTTGAATGTTTTGGACTATTTACGCATGCGACTGCTAAATCTCCCATGTTTCGGAGATGTGAAAGGAATTAGTGAATTGATTTCTCACTTGCATACTGAACTCGAAAATGACTGCAGGACGTATGAATATGAAAACAAAAGCCTCTATGAATCCCTGATGATCAGTAATGCAAACGAGGCAGTCGCTCATGATCCGTCCAGCGATTCAGAAATGTCCAGTCAAGAAGCATGCTCTGTCGTGGGTTCAAATCCCACTGTGCCCGAAACATGTACAGACAGTGAGGCATCCAGCTCACAAGAAGAAACTCTCGTGCCAGAAAATATGTCCCGTGCATCAAATAATGGTCAGAAATCTAATACGAGTTTCAAAGATGCTGTTTATTTTAGTGATCTATTATCCACTAATGGAATTTTGAAGAGGTCTGATGAATTTGTTTCACAAGAATCAAACCTTAATGACCTCATATCTAGTGTCGCTGATCCTCATCATCTAGTCAGTTCTAGTGGACCCTCTACTCAATGCGGGAAATATGCTTTAAATAGAATCAGACTAACTGTTACTTGGGTATATGAGGACCCAACATTGTTTCACGGGGGAGGACGGACGCAGAAAATTTTAGAATCCGGATATCAACTCTGGAATTTCAAAAAAAGGGGGAGGTGTTATGGATGCAGAATAATATACCAATAATTATCGTGTTAAGTCTATGGTGGCCTTGGATTTTAAATGTACATCCCCTATTGGCTGTTATTTAATTCATTCGTTACATATTGTGTAAATGTTGTTTTCTATTTTATGGTATGATGTGGTTGGTTTGTTTGGGATATAAATAGAGTATGTCTGAAATACAATGATTCATAACTCAGAAGCTGTGACTTGGGTTCTAGACTCAACTGGCTGGGCTAGACAGGGAAGTGGGACCAATCGGGACTCTAGGTCGTCCGTACGTGTTTACGTGTCATTGTCACCGAATCGGTCAATAAAACGCTGCTTATCAAACCTGCAGTCACCCGTTACAACATAATCAATTAAAATTTAATTGATTAGGTTTTCAAATTTGAGTTAGTTTGCAAGCAAAGTCGACGTGTTGTTGATGAAGATTTGTCCTCATTCATGATTCGACTGAACTGACAAGTTACTATTATTAAAAAAATTAGAGTATCTATAGTGAATTAATCCGTAGATGGAATCTTATCTAGCCATTAAACTGCTATGAAAACTACTAGTTGCCAAACTTCACTATCAGGATCCTTAACAACACAAGGAGTTCTTTCATAATATACAATTTTTAAATCTGAAGAACCCCACTTATTACTAACTGACTGTAAACTTCTATCAGTACGTACTTTTGAAGATCTTTTTAAATGCACCATTTTAACACCATACAACCTTCTCCAACTATCATGATCGCAAATATATAATTATTAATAAAACACATACCATACAAGCTTTTGACAAAATTTAAAATCTTCATATGAAAATAAGAAGAGAAGAAATCAACTAAAGCATAAAGTGATGATCTATATTGAAAGCGAACTAAAATGTAAACAAACTTCAAAACCATTTATTGCTACCTGTTACGTTATCTAGAATTACAGATATTTCAAAAATAAGTACTTTTTCTTTATTATACACTCAAAGATTGTTTTATTAATTTATTTTTCTTTATATTAAAAAAAAATAGGTTTATACATTGAATCCAACATTTCGAGCTGAGAATTCAAGTACAAGACATCATCTTGCAGAATTTTACATGCTTGAAGCAGAGTCAATTTACTTAGATAATATTAATTCATTATGTAGAGAAATTGAAATGTTAATTAAAAAGATATTAAATGAATGTTTAGAAATTTATCCTATCTCAGGATGTAATGAACTCAATGCATTACAAGTAAGTTGATTTCATCCAATATGTATTATTTATTAAATGAATAAATAAAAATATTTGGCGGTTATATTAAAAAATTTTCCAACTGTTCTAAAGTAATTGCTTTCTTGTAAACTTTTATAGCTAAGTGATTATCTTTTTCAATTTAAGTTGCTTAAGATTAAAAATTAATAGTTTTGCTTTACTGATAGCAATTTTGTTTAAATCATGAATTGTCTTCTATTCTGATTGTTTAATTTCATCTTAATTTAGGACATTCTAATGAAAATTCTTGATCATGACACAAATGAGAATCACTGACACTATTGATTAACCGTTCAGTTATTAAAACCAATTTTTTTTTGTTCAATAAATTCATATACATACAATTGTTTCCCCTTCAATAGAAAAGGATTATATTATTACTGTATATTTTCCATTGTTTTTAGTACAAAAACACCTTTGAATATTTCTTTGTTTCTTTATTGTTCTCAACTCAAGGAATTTACGACAATTCTTAAGTTCCATCTGGTCAATTCATTTTTATTATGTATAAAACCTATTTTAATTTGTAATTAATAATTATATATACATATATGTATTCTTTGTTTCTCATTATGTTCCTTCTTTTATTATTGCTAGTAATAGGTTATGTTTTTTTAAAGGGGAGATTTATTAGTAGCGCTATGCTTTATTGGTTTCAGCTAAGTCAAAAGTTAATAATTCAGCACTTCCTACTTTTGCTGTTTTCCACACATAATAAATAAAAATTGCAGCCTACTATTAAAACACGTAGTTGAATAGTTTAAAGAAATCTTTTTCAAAGAATTATTGTTCAATTTCCTGAGTAGTTTAAATTATTGAGTTCAATCTTATTATTCAGTGATTAAAACTAAATATTTGTTTATTATTAATAATTGAGAATAAAATACAAGCCAACAATATTACAAGACTTATCTGTAACTGCTACCTTGATACAGCAGCTGAAGTTGTATTTTATGACTTTTCGATTGAGTTACTTATTTCTAGTATACTTGTTATTTATGCTCCAACTAGGTCAGATAAGTGGTTTGTAGAATGGTAGTATGAGACTCAGCAAATCTTAGAACGTATTGCATTGTTTCGGTAATGTACAGCCCTTTAAGTTAATGATTTTTTTCAAAAATCGTTTTCAAATCAAAACACTTTTGATATCCAACATTCCTACTTTCCGGCAATCCAATCAAAATCTTTAGTTCAATGAAGATTAATTATACAATGGTTACACAGAAAAGCACTTCCTTGTCAGATCACATAATCTTTTCTGGATGTGCAGTTTTAAGTGAACTAATTAATTCCCGATCATTTATTCTGGTCACCACTTTTGATTGGATCTATTGATAACAGTTTCTGTTACCAAATACGTAGAAGTAGGTCTATTTCTATTTTTTTTTACTAATTGGATAATTCTGATTCATGCAGTGAACCTGTGAACATACTCTGATTAACGATAAAGTGCCGTTCTCTAATAGAATTTGCATTGGTGTGATGGACATTTCAAAATGTTGAACAATTCTATTGAATGAAGTGAACATGAATTTGTTTATTCTTCTATGACTAGTTTATTTAGTTAACTTAATCGTGAACGGAGTAAGACTTATTCTATAATGTTCGGCTTCAGTCTGTACAACAGCATCTTCAAATTGTTTGAATTTCGTAAAAAAATAGCGATTCCACACTTCACATGGTTTTCTCGTTTCATATCTCAGAAAGTGTTTAGCATGTATACAACAATTTCTGTGTAAATTACTTACCAGAAACTAATTATTTCGTTACATACTTTACCAGTTTGCATTTATCTATTAATTGTTCATTCACCTTTATTGTTCTTCGTTTCTGTGAATAACCTTGAGTGTTATTATTGTTAGTGCGACCTTCACTAACCATAAACGTGTATACTGTAAGAAGTAAAAGCCTTTTTTTAATCTTTATTCGATCTCTGATGGATTTGTTCTAATGAAGCTTAAATGATATTCTAATTCCTTTATTATTATTATTATTATTATTATTATTATTATTATTATTAAGTTAATCCATATAATTAAATGTTTAAACTTTATTTCTGATCATTTTCAATCGTTCAATAGTGAAGCAGTTTTTCTTTCCTATTAAGCTTTTTGTATATTCTAATCATTTGTATAGAAATCTTCTATTGTTTACACTTATGAAATTCATCCTTCCTCATTATTACATTAGTCAATAATTAATTTTTTGTTTATCCAATACAAATATACATACTTGTGTATATTTGTACTTAAAGTTGTATTTGTAAATATTTGCATGTAAGTTTCTAATGGGAAAAGATAGTATTTCTTTGTTTCATGCTTTAGAGTAATTTCTCTATTCAAGTAACAATACTATTAATAGTAGTATTTTATTCTCATAGAGCAGATGTTTAAAGTATCTCACATGCTTCATAGTAATTCTGTAATAATTAAGACAAATGGGATGAAAAGAGCAAGAGAATTCACTTGATCCAATTGTAGATTATATGTTTTACAATTTCACATGATTGTATAGTCTAATTATCCTACTACTCAAAGCTTATTATCAATTATTTACATGATAAGATGTGGTTTTTATTTCTTTTGTAAAAATTTAAAAAAATATATTTTGCTTATTTTATGCATTTTGTAGAAAACAACTAAATTCACATGGTTTCATTTTTTGTAACAATGGAATTTATAGTATGTTTTGAAATTGACGTTCATTTTAATGAAAGAGTATTTGTTTTGTTGGGGGTTTTTTTCAATTCCATGATTAATAGTGACAGTTAATTACCAATTTATAAAATGTGTAATTTTAATGGATTTATGCATATTTAAGGTTAGTTTTTATATGAAATTCAATATTGCAAGTTTATATTCATTGACTAAGTACTAAAATTAATTTTTACAACTCGTAGCTTGGAGATAAAAATCATTCAATTATCGTCTAGAACTTTGCAACTTCGAATTGTGTAAATTTTTTGTTTGGATAGCTTAGTAATACTTCTTTCTAACTTTTATACTTACGGTATGGCTCAAATCTCAATACGAACAACCTGTACTCCGCTTGAAAAAAATGTTATTGTCTAGATTTTTACTGTGTTGCATATATAGTTCTTCAATAGTACGCGATAAATATCAGTCCTACTCGACAAACAGGTTTGTCTTTGCATTATCAGAATGAATGTGATACTATTCAGTAGAAGTGATGAATTTCATACTGGAGAATAATCTCAGGCTATAATTTATGGATGATCTTTGAACGAAGCTAGAGTGATCTTGAGAGTGTTCATCTACTTAATAGAGCTAAATAATTGTAATAAACCGATATGAGGTCTAAGGATTATGATTTACCATTGATAATTAGGGTTAGGAATTAGATTTAGGGTTTTCATCATGAACTGACATCAGCTAAAATGACAAAATGCCATTTAGCCAAATTTATGAATCGATTCTCACCAAAATCTAATACTTGTTATCCTAAGTTTGACTGGTTTCGTCCTTAAATTGTAATCTCTCCAAATAATCTATACTTAATCAGAGTTTGGTTTTCAAACTGCTTGATTATTATGTGTTTTAATCCGAATGAAATATATACGAATAAGTTTACTATCGATATGTCTTTTGCTTCTATTATTTATGCAGTCATATTTTATATAAATTTCTCTTACATAGCTTTTATTGTCTTTTTCGTATAAAATGTAACGATTTAGTTCATCTTCGGGAATCTAATAGTACACTTTTAAATTTAATATTATTTTTCGATGACCTCTTAACGGAAAAATCTAAATGTATGAATATATTTACTTTAAAGTCTAAATTTGAGTGAACCAATTACATGGAACTGACTTTAGCATAATACAAATGTAAGATATAGGGAAACCTAAAAACCGGTTAATCTGGCTGCAGGATATACATATATATGCATTACGTAATAGTAAAACTTAGTCTCTTAATTATGGAATTGTTAGTGTAAGAAATTGTGTACTCTTCCTTTATTTCGTGCTATTCTTCTCTAGATAGAAAGATTAAACCATAAATTGTGAATTATATGTAAGAAACTAAATGTTGATTTCCTTCTCCGTTTATCTTTGATAATAGTCAATAGTTGCGTTAACCATAGGAACATCAACTAAATTTCCATTGCTACATCTATCATTTATTTCTTTCTAATTTGAAACGTTTCTGTTCCTGGAATAAGGATCTACTCATATCAGTTTCTAATTTTGTGCATGCTTTGTACTAATCAGTTAAATATGTGTAAAACATTATTGCAATTTTTCATCAATTTAAACTAATATACACACTTGACTCAGAAGGTTTATACAGTTCACAAAGAGGACTTTAAGGTCTTTCCAATGCTGATTTTTTGTTGATTCCTATCTTCTATCCTTTGATTTTCTTACTTTTCAGAATGATTTAGTGTTGATTCGAACATTCCTTGGAAGTCAATCTGAATCTGATAGCCATTCCCAAAGTTTTCTAGTTGATTCTGCTCTGGAGCTAAGAAATGTTTTGGAAACAATGCTGAAACAACCGTTTGTTTGCATTTCATATTCTGAAGCTATAGAGTACTTGAATAAAGAAATGGGTACAGCTGATCTTACTACTTCGAAACCTCGGGATTTGAACAAAAAAGAGGAGTACAAAATCCTAGATTGGGTTGGCGGGAATCGTCCTGTCTTCATTACTCATTTTCCCATGGAACTTAAACCATTTTATTGTCAGTCAATTAATGGTATTGAAGCTGAGTGTGCTGATTTGTTATTTCCAGGGATCGGCGAACTAGTTGGCGCCAGCGTCCGTGAGAATGTTGCTTCTCGTTTACAAACACGCATGAAATCCAATCAGTCGCAGTGGTACATTAATTTACGTGGTACTGGTAGTGCTCCCCATGCTGGTTTTGGTCTTGGCTTCGAGCGTCTTATGCAATTTGTTTTGGGAATAGCTAACATTCGAGATGCAATAGCATTCCCAAGAAATGCCAATAAAATTATTTTCTAAAAAAGGCTTTTACTTTGAAAGCTACATATTGATGAATGTTAGGCGTTAAAGTCGCTTCCAGTTCCATATTCAGTTAAACCAAACGGTTATTATTCACTATTGTCAGACAAAGTTCAAATCATTTTTCTATGTATAATAATATTGTGCCTAAATTTTGCTAAGTACTTCGACCGAACGCATCGAGCCGATTATTTAGTTCCAAAGAGGTAAGTATAATTTAACTCATATCCGAGACATCGTGGGAGTTTCGGTGCTGCAATTCATCATAAGGAGAAAACACCGATATGTTTTTAATCAGTTTGTCCCAATCCTTATTCTCTTATTTATTCAAAGCTACAATATTCAAATGTTTTGACGTAGAATGTCCGTTTAATTTTATAGGATACTATATAAAAGTACGCTTTATCAATAGGATTTGAACTATAGTAACCACCTAGGTTAATATTTATCACTATTAAGGAATTGGGTCCACTCGAAACCCTAAAACCTCAGTGAAGTGTGTTTTTAAATCTTTTATGGAATGTGTGGCACTTCAGAGTTGTCGATGTTTCGTTCCTGGGTAGAAATTTTAAAACCAGAACTTTCATTCGATTGCGCTCATCAGCCCAACACTTCAAATATTATAGTTAGTTATTAAAAGGTATAAAATTATTGGTGCAAAAAACGTTTTGAGGTATGATGCTGTGTTTACATTTTGGATATCCAAGTAACTAAGATACACAACTTTCTGCTGGGTCACAGGTCAAGTCATATCGGTCAGCTTTGGTTCGAACGACCCTCATAAAAACAGTGTAACTTAAAACTGAGTACATAAAAATCTACTAGGTACATAAATGATATGACAACTAGCACTTAGTGGCTAGTCGTCATTTATCTTAAATAAATACAATGCACAGTTCCATTACGACCGAATAGACACTCAAGAAATTAAACGTTAAGGCTGCGCTCCTTACTTTCAAGCCATATCATTGTGACCTGATAATATCTAAGCCTGGTTTTGTTACTCAGAAGCTGACTCCCATAACTTCCACGACAAACCCAGTCGCATAATTCCCCGCAGTAGTGATCGTACTACCGCGCTATTTAACAGGTACGCTACACTTAATATATTTGTAGTGAAGGAGAACACAGGTGAGGATAACTTAATTATATTTAGCACAACATTACAGAGTTACTTGGTAAAATAGAGAAACCATACTATAATACCTAATTTGCAAAATGTTCAATGGTTGTCTCGGACTTCATTGTTCTTGCATTTCTATACTAATTGCTTTCTATTACCGTTCTTCATTTCTTGTTCTTCCCAATCTTCTGCTGCCAGACATTACATTCCTGACTCGCGTTATCTACTACTTATGTCAATATAAGTAGCACGAACCCAGTCGCATAATTTCTCACAGCAGCGACCGTACTACCGCGCTGTTTAGCAGGTACGCTACACTTAGTATATTTACTAGTGAGATTTCTGAAGCTCACAGTAGCTTGAAAAGGGCTATGCCGAAATGCGGAGACCTGACCAGTCGACAAAACAAAGATGAATAGTAGCTAACAGCGTGGGTTTCGTCCCGTTTGGAACTCGTCAATTGGCTGTACCTGCATTCCAGAGTTGGTGTTCACTCCGGGACTCGAGCCCAGTACTGTTCACCTCCAACGCCATCGCATTATCCACTTAGCTACTGATTCCTGATAACTACCTGCTTGTGCGATGGGGTGAAGTTTGAATTCGCCTGGTGTTGTTTTACTTGTATCTTCCCATTATTATTTAGGACTGTAATTGATCAGTCTCACGTCGGTATATGTGCATCCTGTGCGGATTGCCTCGATATAACCAATACACTATGAACTCAACTCTGGGATGCAGACACATCCAGTTGACGAGTCCCAAAAAGGACGAATCGTACATCCTGGATTCCAATGTTAGCCACCATCCATCTTTTCTTAAAAAGCTTGTGACTTTAGGCAATATCGAGGCAATCCGCACAGGACGCACATATGCCAACATGAGACTGATCCATTGCAATCCTAAATAACAATGGGAAGATATAAGTAAAAGAACACCAATCGGCAAAGTTTATAACAGCTACTCCACAATAGACGGTTGCAACACAACTCGGTGACAGCGATGTTGCCACGTTTGAGAGAGCTCATTAGCCAAGAAGAGTTTGACAAGGACTTCTTTAGATAACTTCTTACCAAAGCTTTCTCAACAGATGTAAACGTCCTCGTTTCATTCCGAAGTAACGCTGTAGACGAACTGGCTTCATCTGAAAATCGTATTGTAGAGATCATTAGATGACCGCAGCATTAATGTTTATTTTATCAAAGAAAAGCTTAAGACGATATAAAAGAATATAGCAAATCTTGGCAATACTGTAACTTATTATCGCGATATCCTTTATATTCACACGCTCCAAATCTTTCCAAAGACGTCCGTCGCAAAACAAACGAATCGTTGAGAACGTTGAAAAAGCAGCATGTCATCTTACTAAGTGACTGGAAATTATATTCCTAAATTACAATACGGTTTCTTAACGGATCTGTCGTGCATGATGTGGCATTTTGAGTTTACATGAAGGTCGTATACTCAAGAAGCGTATAACTCTTCTTGTTGTATGCATCAGGAACTAAACAAGGCTGCAGTATGGTGTGGAAAGTACCGACGTCAATTTAATATTGATAAATGCAGCTGGATTAACGTCGGATGGAGCAATATGGGACCTCGTTTTGAAGTTGATGGTATGCCAGTTTACAAATGTGTTACTATCTTAGACCTTGACTCAAGGTACTCAAATGACCTAAATTCCTAGGAACGAAAAACGTCAATCGGCTTAGAGGCACGTAAACATATGGGCTGTATAAATCACAATATCCACTAGTCTAGGCCAACTCTGTATTCAGTCTTTGTCCGCCCAGTGCCCGAATATTGTCCGTTTTTACTGAATGGTCTTCGTATAAGCTGGAAACTACAGAGGTTCTTCTCAAAAACGACTTTAGTAGTGAATTACGATCAGAGTTACTTTGCACAGTGTGACACATTAGGACTGGAGCCTTTTCGAAAAAGACAGTTAAGCTTATTGTTTATATTTTAATCCAAGCTCGCCCACTAATCGCCACAACCTTCAAAAACAATCATAGGCTAACTGATACGCTCAACTATAAACTAAGTAACCATACTAGGCTAGTCAAAAATCAGCAATGTAGATCTAATGTACAGTGGAAACTCTTCCCACATAAGTTTTCTATCATTTGGAATAAACTCAATTGTATTATGCGTATACATACAGTAAGCCACTTTATTCATAATTTTAACTTATAGAGGAAACCAAGTTAATTGGTTAGCTAGTAGTGCGCTCGAATTCTAGCGCTCACATGATGTGCAAAATAACCCTAGAAAACTTCGACACATTAATCAGTGCCACTAATCACCTCTTTAAAAGAGTTTTAAGTAACTGATTCATAGTTCGCCCAAAAACCATATGAATAAGCACCATACCTATGATTAGGATATCAATACCAAAACGTCAGGCTTAGCAAGTAAATATATACTTCATAAACAAAAGTCAGAGGGGTATGAAAAAATATATGTTCTAAATTTACAATATGGGAATATTTCAAATTTTAAAAGTATATTTCATGGCTATACCAAAATACTTTGGCTATGTTCGTGCTGCACTATACGATAACCTTGAGTTTTGGGGAGACTACAAGCTGTATGTTACGTTTATTGATCCTGGCCTCCCAAGTCTAAAAGAATTTCGAGAAGTTTCCAACTGTTTATGCTCTCTATGCTTCGTCAGCAACACTCCTGACCCTTTGTACCGGTTATTCCTGCAGAAATCATAGATATTAGCACCAACTTTGCCCATCGCAACTGCGGACCACGTGTCAGCAGTGATCCTGTCAAATCCATGCAAGTAACTGAACTTAAAAAACCATGTACATAATATCACGTCTGAAAATGAGTACATGACCTAAATTACATATCCAGAACACGATTCAAAAATACTCATTACTTCATTCCCTCGGTAGAAATCCTTTATACAACTAAGGCTGTTATAGCAGCTGCCTGGGGCTTGGCAGAAACATAAACTGCTTGAAAACTGTTTTCTGTTTTATGAACTGTATAACATTTGAATTATATATTACCAAAATTTCATTTTTCCAACACAGCGTCCACATGACGCTCAATCTCTTACGCTATACACTTCAGTCCTATTTCAACAATATCTGTGTATCACCATTTATATACAGCATGAGGAAAAATAGAGAATAGCATATCAACTCATTGCTCACAAATAATCGAGTCTGAAATATTTTACGACCGAAACATTTGGCAAAAAACCAAACGAAATACATTGTTATCGTGTGTAGGTTTCACATACCGTGATTCTATGTGAGTTAACGTTACGTACATAGTCCACCACCTCGATCGTATTAACGAGGCTGTGAGCGTAGATCACTTATTAGTTACACATCTTGTGGTCAGTGAAGATGGTATACACTGTGTTGCAGCCTATTTTAATCTTTGGCTAATGTCAGGGGCGGTGAGCATGTTTTTTTATGAATGCGATTTGCGACTGAATGGTTCGCAGATTTCTTGCTGTCTGGTATTTTACCAAATAATAAAGGAACATCAGTGAACATAATTATACCAGGGTAGCCGTTGATTACAAAACGTTTACAAGGTCCTCTTACTTATTCTGTTGCATGATTTTGAGTGTGGAAAGCAAGATGGTGTCTTTGGGCTGTTAAAGCTGATAGACAACTGATTATCCATTTCATGTTGCAACAACGTTACTGGATAAGGTTGGTTTTGTCCGTGAAAGACGACTGTCGGCATAACTGACCCACTAGTAATTGACCCCTACTTTGTTGAATTAAAATTTTATTTACTGGAGCGATACAATAAGCAGTACGCATTGTATGTCACCCTATATGACGTTTTAATAACCTGTCTGTTGATGAGAATTTTTTATTCCCGGTGTCCCCAGAAAATAGCCGTTTACAGTTTGATGTCGTTTCTAAAACCACACTTCCTAGCAAGTGAAATGTTTGGTGTTCCTTAAGGAATTGTAGAGGACTACGTAATATCCTGTGCTCATCAGTAAGTTATTTTATTCTTACTTTAATCAGTCCCTAGTCCTTCTGGTTCGGTCCCGTTTTCTAATGTGATCAGTTTTCTGGATGGTTAAAATGGCAGTTTTGACCTTGGGTTGAACTGACTAAGGACTACTGTTGCGCCATTAAAGCAGTCGACTACATTTCTAGACACCAGCTCACCTATGTATCTACGGTTACATATCGTTGAATAGGATACTTAAATATCCACCAGCCGATAAAAATTAACCTAAAAGAACGCACGCCGACCCATATAGTCGACATAAGGTTT